TTCTTCAGGTGGTTTGAATGTCGAACTGAACACTTTATTTCGCTCGCTGGGTTAGACTGTTCTAGTTCCACGTGCCATATCTAGTGGATGTCAGTTATCAGTTATCTCCTGCTTAATTTCCCTCTCCAAGTTCTCCCCCGCCTTAACCAGGTATTGAACTCACACTCTTTGGGTCCTGTCACTGGATCTATCGCCTTTATTCACTGTGCCATGTGTCCTTGAGGACATCTGGGTATGGTTCAGTTCGACATTCCAACCACCTGAAGGCCGGAGCGTACAAATAATGTAAATAGTGTACATAATACTTCATCTCAGAAATATAGACAGGTAATAACATGTCTGTCCACTACGTATGAATTGAGCACGTCTGTCCTGTCGTATTGTACTTACTCTTTTCTCGAAGAAACAACATTCTTCCACTTGAACAGAAGAGATGTGGGAGATGCAATGATCAACTACTTATAAATAAAATGATTCAGTAAAATTGAAGGAGACGATGTAGAAATCTTAGAGTAGAATGGATAGATTACCATAAAGCCTCTGTTAATGCGCCATATTCATGGATTCTTACGATTTTGGAAATACATAAAGTCTCCCCCGTGATATTAAATTTCCATAATCCCAGCATGGGAATGTGGAAAACCACATTAAAACTAAATCTCACAAGAGGTACTGCCATCTCTAACCACCTGAATATCCAGCAAGTAATCTTTCAATAAGATTCCCTGCCACCCTTTCTGCTGTGTCTGTCCTTAATCCAAAGACTATAATGAGTTGAAGGGTCTTATCAATACAGTAACGGCATTGTTAGGTATGGATTTTGGGTTTTATAAATGTGCAAAAGTAACATTCAAGAAAGGAAGAATTAGAGAAACATTCAATAGATTTAGATTTTGTCAAAAAAGATTTCAGGAATTGGATCCAGAATAATACTATAGGTACCAAGTAATTAGCGAAGGAGATGGAATACACCATGACCAAATGAAGGAGAAGGTAACAAAGGAATAACACAGGCGGGTGCATTTGTTACTGAATACCAAACTGAATTCAGAAAAGAGAATATCAGCTATAAATACCATGGTTGTCCCTGAGGGGCAATACAGTTTAAACATCCTTAAGACCATAGCTGACATTAAGCGAATGGATGACAAAGCGAGAAAGATCCCCAGCGCATACATCATCTCAAAGCTGATTTTGATCGTCTGTATTTGCCAAGATCCGCAGGAGGCAGAGTATTAGTTGAATTGGAACTGTATTATAAACCTACAACAGTTGGCCTTCAAAGATTTCTGGAAACTACAGAAGATTGGATGATGATATGTGTGAAAGAACATGAAAGTAGGAAGCGACTTTATTCAGTAATAAGGGAAGTTATCAAGTTCAAAAAGGACTTTCAAATGGGTGAAGAAAGACACGTAAAGCACAGTACACCGACTGAAGAAGCAAAATACTTAAAAAAGAAATCAAAGGCAAAGACAACCGACCAAATAGAAACAATGGCAAGATAAACTGCTTTAAAAAAAACTGATGTAGACAAACCTCGTTTCCATCAGTAGCTACATAGCGCCAGGTTAAAAGCTGAAACCGAATGTTTTATTCTTCATGTACAGGACCAATGCTTGCTAACTAGAAATTATCAAGCACATATACTGAAAAAATTTGTTAGCCCAAAATACAGGTTCTGTGATAAAAATCCAAAAACAACTGACCATTTTGTATCACGTTGAACGGTATTGGCACCCACTAAATATAAAACCCGGCATGACAGAGTGGGCCAATATCTGCACTGGAAAATCTGCAACATTTACGGAAAGGAAATTGCAAGAAATTGGCATGGCCACCACCCAGACCCGATTACGGACATAGGATCTGTAACAATTTTATGGAACTTCACAATACACACAGAACAATCAATGCTAATCGCCCAGGGATTAGAGACCGCAAAAACAAAAAATGACCCCGTATTGATGTAGCAGTCCCTGATGACTGCAATGTATCTTTGAAGATCTTCAAAAAGTCATCAATATATAAGGAGCTTGAAATCGAAATCTAAAAAAATGTGGCAAATGAGAATATGAACAATTCCACTTAGATGGACTCCTCAGATTGGTTGGAGAAGATTCTAACAGACTCATTATCGAGATTCCTTGTAGCCCATACATTAAAGAAATACAAAAAAAAATGATTGTCATGAGTACAGCCCCACACCTTACGAAGGGCTTTATGCATGCAAAATATATCTTGTATTTTTTTCAAAATTGCTCATGGAAAATGTCATTATGCCATTTCTGAACTTAGGTCTCTGGTTGGGACCCTGAAAGAAATGAATATATACCAGAAATCAAAGGAAATAATTATAATAATAATAATGATGATATGGAGATCACACAGACACGGTTACAGAGATAGCACCTGTGACAATTTTATGCGACTTTACAATATACTCAGTAAGAAAAAAAAAAAAAGAAGCTAATCTCCCAGACATTGTTATCAAAGACAACAGAAACAGAACATTTTTTTAAGAGAAAAAGTGTTATGATTTCCAGCCGGCAGATGTAGTAGTGACTGATCGGTCAATGAATTCCTCCACATAAGAAAACAACTAATATTTCCTTTATATACTATAGTCGCCAATATTTTACTAGAGGGAAATCTTTTTATTCTCAACATCGTCAATGAATAGCAAATGTTTCCTTATGAGTAAATGTACACTACAATTATTATTTTTTTTTTATTTATATTTGGTATCTGCACGTCTGTTATAGAATCTTGTCACCAAGTTTCAACCTGAAACATCAGAGACAGGAAGTTGACATCAAAGCTGATAGCAGTATGTTTGTTTTAAGTGAGATGCTTAGTTGGTGACAACACGAATCTGAAAAAGTATAAAAGTCAAATAGAAATGATTTTTAAAGTTAATATATATTAAAAACAATTTAGAGAATTATTAAAATAAAGAAAATTAAAATGACTTAAGAATAGTTAAAACGATATATTTAAAAATATATAATGTTAATAAATTTAAATTATATTTTTTCATCTCATTTCTATGTGCTGTGACTCTTCAGGATGTGGGTGATAATAATATCCATATTTTACTCTCCTTTTTAAGTATTAGTAAGTTTTTTTCTATTCCTTTATGCTATCACCCCTAATCTCTGTTCTACCAATTATTTACAGAAATTCGTTAGGTACGTATTCCCTGTTTGCCACTGTCCCTCTTGACTTTAATATGTCCTTTGAGTGTCAAATTCTCCAAGCGCTGTTTCCTCAATATGTTTGCGATAAATTTCAACTCTCCCTTTCTCTTTCAAATTATAAGCATCATTTTTGTTACAATTCTTTTTATAGAACTTCATCGTTCATTTGAGTTCAGCATCCTTTTGTAGAACCACATTTATCTATCCTCAGGTTGCCTCGTAATCTCTGAGAAGGTTTTCTCGCATTCATTGCCATGTAAGAGGACCGATAGTACGTAAAAGTTCTGTACACTTTCTTGGTTTCTAACAAAACGTTCCTGTTTCTTTTGCCTAGCTTTTTGAAGGCATATTTTGCTATTATTGTGGATATTCGGATTTCGGTAGTGCATTTTGTCCTCCGTCAAAATACTCCCTAGATATTCGTACTTGTTTGGTTTTTGTGTCTCCTATTCTTAGTTCGTAATCAGTTAATCATATTGCTTAAAAATAACTAAACTTATTCAATTAATGCAATTCTTGGATCAAAATAAACAAAGTATTTTAGCTTTGGTGAAGTCAGCTACAGTTGGCTCCCCTTTGAACTTCCCGACTGCAAAAGAAATTAGTAGTCAAAAGTAGTCAAACTGCATTGAATAGAAATTCAATGCAAGCTAAAAAGTTCGTTTTTTTTCTTTTTAAGTATATACTATCATTTTTTTTCTTATAAAAGTCACTCTTGAATCAATAAGCATCCTGAATTTAATTGCAGTCCAAGGAATCGGAATAAAATACTGCGCTGTAGAATAGATAGAATAAATCTCTGCGGACGTAGAAGACTGCACGATCAGTAGATTGATGTGTGGGTGGGGTAATAAATATCTGCAAAATCGGAGAGTCGGGTTCGAATTCCAGTCGAGTTTGTTGTATTCGCGCAAATACCCTTGGGTATGGTAAGAACCCATCACTTTTCACCAGATATGTAGAAAAAAAGTGTTAAAAAGTCGGACTTTTGTTTGGAAAAAAAAAATATCGTTGTCATAAAAGAATTGTTAACGCAATATTCAATCGAAAATACAAACAATATATTTTACAATCTCAAAGATATATTTTGACTTTAAATAACCTACAGAGGGTTGATAAACCGTAAAACAAAAGCATGATCCATACTATCCCCGATTTTCATCTCTAAATAAATTATTTATATATTACTATAAGGGGGAAACGAAGTTGTTATATTCTGGCCTAGTGTGGTATATTTTAGCTTATCACGTTTATAACCAGTGGTATAAACTTACGTAGCCTTACCTATACCCCTATTATAAAACAGGAAAGGGTGAAATGATCTAGGGTATACTTTGGGGATGAGGGTCAATTACACCGGGGCACAAGTGTGAAACTTCTCGTACGGTTGTTAGACACTACGCCCACACATGATTTGCAAGACATATTTGGTAATGATTGTTTCCGAGTAATCGTGTGTGCACGCGCAAACACACGCACCCCCCACATATCCGCATACACATATCCACACGCAAAAACTCATGCATACTTATGTGTGTATTCATATACATACATACATACAGTTACATATATATTTATATTTATATATATATATATATATATATATATATATATATATATATATATATATACATACATACATATATATATATATATATATACATATATACATATATATATATATATATATATATATATATATATATATATATATATATATATATATATATATATATATGCAAGAAGTGTTCGGAATAATCGACATGGTAGCTTGTCAGTTCGCTCAATGGTGTTGGTCGAATGTGTCTACCTGTAAAGCTGACAGATGCGGAAGGCGATGACAAGTAAAAAGATGGATGTGTCTTAAAGCGTTCACTGGTTCTTGCACAGCCCAGGACGCGAACCGAGATAGAAAAGAAAGTCAGTTGAATACCAACTACGCAAACAACACACCTCGAATACTCACTAATTCAAAGCACGGGCTCCAAAGACAAAATAGATGAAGTGACATATTTTGTACTTACCCTGTTCTCTTCTATTTTTCTTTTCTTTTTTTTTTCTTTTTTTTTCACTTCAATCAATCTTCATTCCTTAATTTCTGTCCAGAATTCTATTTCTGTAATATTGTTTTTGTATATCCCAGTTTTTTGTTTGTGTGAGTTCCTTTTCTTTAACCCCTTGTTCGTAATTATTATAAAAAAGATCATTCTTGCTCATCTATGTTACTTCCTGTTTTATTGATCTTTCACTTCACTGACATCTGTTTCTTTTTTTTTATTATTTTAACCCCAACATGTTTTTTTTTTTTTTCCCTTGTCACTTTCAGATTATTCTTCACAATTTACACATAATTCTTTTGTTTTCACTCATTCCTTGCATTATTCTGTCTTTTAGGCAAGCTTGTTTGAAACTCTTTTTTTTCCATTTCATTTGACATTCTTTTATTATCTACCTTTTTTTTTTTACTCACTTATTTGTCAGGCCATAATTTAACTTCCCTATTTTGGTCTCGTCTTTTGAAATATATCTGCCCGTATTTCGGATTTTACACGTTTTAATCTCGTCATTTCTTCCAAGACATTCTTTTCATAATATTTAGTTAGTGTTTGTTACTTTTCATTTTATTTGTTTTAAAGCTTTTATTATTTATTTTCTGTCACTTTCCTTCACTTCTTTTTTTTCTTTCTTCCTACAGCCCTGTTGGCTGGGGCTTCAGAATACGCTGACTGCACCTCTGCAGAGGGGTACTCCCACCCAAGACACCCCTCCAAATAAAGCGTCCACAGTAAGACAATAAAATATATCCAACAGAAAAGGCTCTGTGAAGGGGGCTTTGAGGCGCATGGAACAACCTCTTACTTGCTAGTGCTCCCAGGTTCACTCTGACCCGAGGTAGTAGCACCTGTTAGGGTCCCGAATATGGGCAAATATTTAACATCCAAACTGTGTTCAAAAAACTATGAAAGTGTAAATATAGGTTTTAATGCCAGCAAAAAATCTTTGAAGAAAAAATAATACCAGCAATACTTTTTTTGAATAAAAAATATTAGCAGTAAAATATTTAAAAAAATATTAACAGCAATAAAGATCTTGTTATTATTAAATAAACAATAGAGGTTGATATGACGTAAAACAAACAAACCAAACCAGACCTTCTTTCTATCCTTTTCTGTTTCGTATTTGCATACTCCTATTTATTCTGTCCTTTTTTAGACATCCACGGAGAAATATCTGTCAGTTATATGCAACCGCTTTCTAAGATCATTACGTAGAGAGTTTTTGAGCGAGTAACGCAAAGTTACAGAACCACGTCACTTGAGGACAACGAACAGCGGAAACAACTAAACTGGATAGCACGTGTTGCTAGTAGACAAATAATGGCATAATCAAAATGTTTACGTTTCACACAACATCAAATAAAAAGAAGTTATACTCCATTATTTCTAGAAAGATGAATAACAGTTGTAGGAATTGAGAAACCTATTGTCATGAAAAATTGTTTTAAGAGAAAGATTGTAGAAATTTCAATCAGTAGTAGTACTGGCTCCTTGGTCACTAAATGCCACATGTTTCCTTATAAAGAAATTTATAATTCTTCCATTGCTTCTACATAGTTTCCAACCTGCACCTCGGCGTTGTGTAATGGTAAGCAAGCTTGTGTCGCTAGATCAGTTACTACTGAAAAGTGAGTTCGATCCTCACTAGATGCCCCCATACTTTCGGCCGTGTGCCACATCTAAGCTACGCTTGGAAAATCTCTACACAGTTTTCAACTTTATACTTGTCTTTTTTTTCCTTCCATTTTTTTTGAGCCATTGTCTTATTACAGTGACGTTGATGATATTTATTGAAAATAAAATATACAAATATTGAAATGATTAGAATGATTAAGAGGGGGTTTGTTTCCACATATCTATCACGAATTTAGCTCATTAGCCATTCCTTTCGTATAGTTTTCTTTTCAACCAAACATCTCATTTTCAAAGTACAGTTTTAGAGCAGGCACCAACATACCACAATATAGAATTCTTCTACGCGATGCAATGTTAAGCGAGAGCGTATCGACTGAATAGTGTGTTCGATCCTCACTTTGTACCCCATAATTTTGTCCTTATCGCACATCTAAGCTTATTCCTTTTATTAGAAAATCATCATAATTCCATAATTTTTCTATAATGTCCTAACATGCAAAATGTATATTTTTTAGATAGTGGATGAAAAGACTCACAGCACTAAAGAAATTTCCTCATTAGTCATGTCTGTATAGCTGGCCACTCGTATTCGATGTTACCCGTCAACTATCGATTATTCAACACCCACAGAAACTACCTATTATACTGCCATTATGCTGAGCAGACCTTAGTTACAGTTTCTGGGAAAGAGTGTGTTATCTTGTGTGATGAAAAATTTGAACAAATCAGCATGTTCAAGCATTCGGCCACGATGAAATGTGACTTGGTGCTAACACAGCCGTCGACGTCTACCCAATTTCATTCGCTGATATGGCTTTCAAGCACTTTCCAAAGGTGTCACAAGCTGGATAACATGTAGAAGTTCCCTTCCTGAAAAATCGACCATGGTGAGATTCCAACCGAGGCCTCATGACAAGAATGCGTACATTCTAACCACTCGGCCACGTGCCCATATATTAGTCGTGGATAATGTAATATATTTGTAAAATCCATTAAAAACTCTGTTAGCATTTCATGCTAGATAAATGAAAAATGAAGGAAAAGTAGAAATTTAAAGAGATATGAAAATATGAAAGATTTTTAAATGTTTTATGAATTCTAAAAAGATGATTACAGAAAAGAATGAAATAAAAACAAAGTGGAATTAAAGAAAGTAAAATTTCTTCAATCACAAATTAACTCCGAAGAAATCAATTGTACATTTGTTGGAAAACAGTTCAATAACTTTTTTTCTGCTTTATGTGCCGTGTCCTTAGGTGATCATGGCTCTCCACAATTTCCTGTTCTTTGTAGCTGTAAATAAATTTTCTCTTTTTGTAATCTCTCCTAAACCTTACTTAATCACATTAAATATGTAATGCGTTGTTAACTCAGCCCATCTTGCCTTCAGCCTGTTCTGTGTGAATTAGATTTTCCAAGTCATCTAATTATGGGCCCTATCTCTTCTTGATGTTAAGTATAAGTTTCCTTTTGTTTCCATTTTATCTAAAACTTCGTCGTTTCTCAATTGTTCCGTCCATGGTATCCTCAGCACCCTTCTGTAGAACCACATTTCTCATTCTTCAAGTATGAGGAGATTGTCTAATATCCACTCACATGTAAGAGGTCCGATATCATATAACATGTCAGTACTCTTTTCTTTATTTCTCGTCAAATATTTCTGATTCTTGCTACTAAGCTTAGCTTTTGGAATGCATCTTTTTCTATGCTAATGCGATTTCGTTTTCAGTGTCCTATTCCTAGATATTTCTATTTGTCTAATTGTTTGATTTGGTATCTCCAATTTGTAATCTGCATATTTGGAGCATTCTTTTGCTAACAAGAGTCGTCATTTCCCTTAAATAAGTTAATGATTTATCTTAGGTCTTTGGATTCTTCTTTTTGTTTTTCTTATCGCCTCGCTTCTCGTCAACATTTCTAAGCCATTTTTGAAATCTATTTCCTTCTTCCTTATTTTCTATGAGATATAATCTCATTCTTTTCTTTTTTGTTGATTCAAAGGATTCCATCTTTCTTTTTCCTTCTTATTTTCTGTAAGGATATCGTCTTTCTTCTTTTCGTTTTCTTTCTTGTTTGCTCTCTTCTTTTCCTTTTCTTTCTTATTTGCTCTAAGGATAACGTCTCTTTTCTTTATCTTTTCTTTCTTATTTGCTCTAAGGATAACCTCTCTCTTCTTTTCATTTTCTTTCTTGTTTGCTCTAAGGATAACCTCTCTCTTCTTTTCCTTTTCTTTCTTATTTGCTCTAAGGATAACGTCTCTCTTCTTTTCATTTTCTTTCTTATTTGCTCTAAGGATAACGTCTCTCTTCTTTTCCTTTTCTTTCATATTTGCTCTAAGGATAACGTCTCTTTTCTTTATCTTTTCTTTCTTATTTGCTCTAAGGATAACCTCTCTCTTCTTTTCCTTTTCTTTCTTATTTGCTCTAAGGATAACCTCTCTCTTCTTTTCCTTTTCTTTCTTATTTGCTCTAAGGATAACCTCTCTCTTCTTTTCCTTTTCTTTCTTATTTGCTCTAAGGATAACCTCTGTCTTCTTTTCCTTTTCTTTCTTATTTGCTCTAAGGATAACGTCTCTCTTCTTTTCCTTTTCCTTCTTATTTGCTCTAAGGATAACGTCTCTCTTTCTTATTTTCATTTTCTTTTTCTTATTTGCTCTAAGGATAACGTCTCTCTTCTTTTCCTTTTCTTTCTTATTTGCTCTAAGGATAACCTCTCTCTTCTTTTCCTTTTCTTTCTTATTTGCTCTAAGGATAACGTCTCTCTTCTTTTCATTTTTCTTTCTTATTTGCTCTAAGGATAACGTCTCCTCTTTTTCTTTTCTTTTTTTTCTTATTTTCTCTTTTCTTTTCCTTTTCTTTTTATTTGCTCTAAGGATAACCTCTCTCTTCTTTTCCTTTTCTTTCTTATTTGCTCTAAGGATAACCTCTCTCTTCTTTTCCTTTTCTTTCTTATTTGCTCTAAGGATAACGTCTCTCTTCTTTTCCTTTTCTTTCTTATTTGCTCTAAGGATAACGTCTCTCTTCTTTTCCTTTTCTTTCTTATTTGCTCTAAGGATAACCTCTCTCTTCTTTTCCTTTTCTTTCTTATTTGCTCTAAGGATAACGTCTCTCTTCTTTTCCTTTTCTTTCTTATTTGCTCTAAGGATAACGTCTCTCTTCTTTTCCTTTTCTTTCTTATTTGCTCTAAGGATAACGTCTCTCTTCTTTTCCTTTTCTTTCTTATTTGCTCTAAGGATAACGTCTCTCTTCTTTTCATTTTCTTTCTTTTTTGCTCTAAGGATAACGTCTCTCTTCTTTTCCTTGTTATTCTTATTTGCTCTAAGGATAACGTCTCTCTTCTTTTCCTTTTCTTTCTTATTTGCTCTAAGGATAACCTCTCTCTTCTTTTCCTTTTCTTTCTTATTCTTATTTCTCTAAGGATAACGTCTCTCTTCTTTTCTTTTTCTTTCTTATTTGCTCTAAGGATAACGTCTCTCTTCTTTTTCTTTTCTTTTTCTTATTTGCTCTAAGGATAACGTCTCTCTTCTTTTCCTTTTCTTTCTTATTTGCTCTAAGGATAACCTCTCTCTTCTTTTCCTTTTCTTTCTTATTTGCTCTAAGGATAACTTTTTCTTTCTTATTTCTTTTCCTTTTCTTTCTTATTTGCTCTAAGGATAACGTCTCTCTTCTTTTCCTTTTCTTTTCTTATTTGCTCTAAGGATAACATTTTCTTTCTTTTCTTTATCTTTTTCATTTTCTTTCTTATTTGCTCTAAGGATAACGTCTCTCTTCTTTTTCCTTTTCTTTCTTATTTGCTCTAAGGATAACTCTTCTTTTCTTCTTATTTTCTAAGGATTTTCCTTTCTTTCTTATTTGCTTTAAGGATAACGTCTTTTCTTTTCCTTTTTTCTTTCTTATTTGCTCTAAGGATAACGTCTCTTTTCTTTATCTTTTCTTTCTTATTTGCTCTAAGGATAACGTCTTCTCTTCTTTTCCTTTTTCTTTCTTATTTGCTCTAAGGATAACGTCTCTCTTCTTTTCCTTTTTCTTTCTTATTTGCTCTAAGGATAACGTCTCTTTTCTTTTCCTTTTCTTTCTTATTTGCTCTAAGGATAACGTCTCTCTTCTTTTCCTTTTCTTTCTTATTTGCTCTAAGGATAACGTCTCTCTTCTTTTCCTTTTCTTTTTCTTATTTGCTCTAAGGATAACGTCTCTCTTCTTTTTCCTTTTCATTTTCTTATTTGCTCTAAGGATAACGTCTCTCTCTTTTTTTCTTATTTTAACGTCTCTTTTCTTTTCTTTTCTTTCTTATTTGCTCTAAGGATAACCTCTCTCTTCTTTTCCTTTTCTTTCTTATTTGCTCTAAGGATAACGTCTCTCTTCTTTTCCTTTTCTTTCTTATTTGCTCTAAGGATAACGTCTCTCTTCTTTTCCTTTTCTTTCTTATTTGCTCTAAGGATCGTCTCTCTTCTTTTCCTTTTCTTTCTTATTTGCTCTAAGGATAACGTCTCTCTTCTTTTCATTTTCTTTCTTATTTGCTCTAAGGATAACGTCTCTCTTCTTTTCTTTTCATTTTCTAAGGATAACGTCTCTCTTCTTTTCTTTTTTGCTTATTCTAAGGATAACGTCTCTTTTCTTTTCCTTTTCTTTCTTATTTGCTCTAAGGATAACGTCTCTTTTCTTTATCTTTTCTTTCTTATTTGCTCTAAGGATAACGACTCTCTTCTTTTCCTTTTCTTTCTTATTTGCTCTAAGGATTACGTCTCTTTTTTTTATCTTTTCTTTCTTATTTGCTCTAAGGATAACGTCTCTCTTCTTTTCCTTTTCTTTCTTATTTGCTCTAAGGATAACGTCTCTCTTCTTTTCATTTTCTTTCTTATTTGCTCTAAGGATAACGTCTCTTTTCTTTTCCTTTTCTTTCTTATTTGCTCTAAGGATAACGTCTCTTTTCTTTATCTTTTCTTTCTTATTTGCTCTAAGGATAACCTCTCTCTTCTTTTCCTTTTCTTTCTTATTTGCTCTAAGGATAACGACTCTCTTCTTTTCCTTTTCTTTCTTATTTGCTCTAAGGATAACCTCTCTCTTCTTTTCCTTTTCTTTCTTATTTGCTCTAAGGATAACCTCTCTCTTCTTTTCCTTTACTTTAATATTTGCTCTAAGGATAACGTCACTCTTCTTTTCATTTTCTTTCTTATTTGCTCTAAGGATAACGTCTCTCTTCTTTTCCTTTACTTTATTATTTGCTCTAAGGATAACCTCTCTCTTCTTTTCATTTTCTTTCTTATTTGCTTTAAGGGTAACGTCTTTCTTCTTTTCCTTTTCTTTCTTATTTGCTCTAAGGATAACGTCTCTTTTCTTTATCTTTTCTTTCTTATTTGCTCTAAGGATAACCTCTCTCTTCTTTTCCTTTTCTTTCTTATTTGCTCTAAGGATAACGTCTCTCTTCTTTTCATTTTCTTTCTTATTTGCTCTAGGATAACGTCTCTCTTCTTTTCATTTTCTTTCTTATTTGCTCTAAGGATAACGTCTCTCTTCTTTTCATTTTCTTTCTTATTTGCTCTAAGGATAATGTCTCTCTTCTTTTCATTTTCTTTCTTGTTCGCTGTAAGAGATTCCAGGTCAGGACCTATATCCTTGATTGTTGGAATTTCATTTAATATTGCCTCCCGAGTGAGATTTTTTGTCTGTTGTTTAATATTTTATATGTCTTGAGGTTAAGTCTTTCAGTAACTTCTAAATCTATTAAATGTATGAGATTATTTACATATGTCGTCTGTCTGTTAACAATGTTTCGAATATTAATAATAAATATACATTTTCTAACCGGAAACACAACTCTGAGTTTCTGTTAGACAGACAACATACACACACTAAAATAAATTATGTATGTATGCATATACGATAAAAATATTTACAAGCAACTTTTCTACGAGGAACTGAGTTCAGGAAAACGTTCACATAACAACACTTTTTAAGAAGTTTATATAATATAAATTCTCCTCCTGCTTGCATAGTATAGGCTGAAATAATTTTAAGCTAAAAGATTCCAAAATTAATAAATGGTGTTTTGATCTGCCAGTATGCAAAATGGAAAACGAGTCAGTCGAAAAACGAGACGAGCATGACTCATTATCCAATAGGTGTTGTCCAATCGAAGTCTCGTGCACACACACACACACACACACACTCTTTTTATATTTTGAATAGGATTTATTCCCTGGTTCAAATTTAAATTTAGTTTAAATCATAGGGAAAAATGTCACTGGGGTTGCAAAACAGCTTGATCACACCCCTTTGATATGTATTTGATGCAATACTTGATTAAATAAATTGATAAACAGTGGTATTGTCGCAACAAATATGTATTATAAGACACTACTCTCGGATTGGTAATTCTTTACTCACCTTGAGGCCGACATAGTCTCATTTTCATCTTGCTGATGTGACCTCCATCTTCTGGCTTTCTCCTTCTGTATTTTGAGTAGGAGTCATTCCCTTGTTGAAATTTAAATTTTATTAAAATCAAAAGGAAAAATTTCAATAGGAGGTTTGTGCCCCTAGTTGACACCCTTTATTAAAACTGAAATTTACTTATCCAAGTATTCTGGGTAATGAAGGGTCTACGCCCAGAACCCGAGGAGGAGTTCCATAACAAACAAACACGCAGAGACAGAGCTACAACCTTATATATATATATATATATATATATATATATATATATATATATATATATATATATATATATATATATATACACAGAGAGAGAGATTAGATGGATAATCTGAATGCAGCATTGGAAAGAATTGACAGAGTAGAGGAGGATAGTAAGGTAGGGCCCTAACGTCTTTGAGGTTGAATGTCTCAGTCGTGCTGTGATCAAATTTGATCAACGAAGAAGCAGACGCCTCTGATTTGCCATCTAATATGCAATGTTTAAATTGTGGTATATTTGAGCGCATGCTGTTGTCGAGACAATTTTATGTAAATTGACTGAAAGATTAGCATAACAACAGAAGCAAACCGAGTATACCAACCTAACACATCGTCCTGCGTCGTATGCAATACGGTTTGCGGATTATCATATGTACTGAAAAGTACACAGTAGATTTGTAGGCCTTGCAGATCCAATCATCCCAATCAAGTATATAATATTTATCTGTAATCGAATGCTGGTCTCAAGAGTCATCTTAGCGGCTCTGGGCGCCGAAAAGAGAAGGAAGCCATTAAACGTGATTCGGTAGGTGAGGAGACGGCTCCTATCTGAGTAAGATATGTCAATCCTCGTGCATGTATATATCTGAAATTGTCAAACAGAGAATTTAAAACGTATAAAATGTCATGCAGTCAGTTAAAGGACATAAACTAGTAAGTTATACTACCATGTTTCTTTTAAGTGAATGGATCCGTGACAGAATCTGTTTTCGGCGTGGTCCAAGCAGCAACTGATTATAGTCAGCTATTCGCCGTCACTTTTACATCCTCAATCGATTATTCCTCTCAAAAAGGAGATAACTTCTTTCTACATAACAACAATCACTACTAATACAGACGAGCTGAGCGTTCAAAAGAAAATAAAGAAGAGAGTTGCATGATTAGAATGGATCAACTGTAAAGTACTTATAGCTGAGCCAGGGAGAGTTGCTATTAAAACAACATAGGTGAACAAGGCTCATATTTTATTTATCGTCCTCGTAGACTGGCGCCTGATTGGAAAAAAAGTCTGAGAATTATCGCAGAACAGCAATTACTATTAAGATAAACGAAATATTGGTAAAAATTAAGAATAGTCATCAGTGACTCATCTTAAAAAAGCTAAAGATGTTATTATCTACTTTAAGCTGATAGAAGCGGCAATGGCGTATTGATACTTTATTCTGATTTTGGTTTGAAGAAGTAGAATAATTTATAACTGCACTTCCTATTGGCTAATATCATTTTTTTTTCTATAGTTATTATTCTGTGACATAAAACTTTGTATTAATCCTGGTAGTCGAAGAAAACTCTTACATTCCTCGAAGACCAATAGTAGAATATGAATGGAATATATCCGTTAATTTTTCAGTTATCATGCTGAGATAACTATACGCTCGATAAGTTATGGTTGATTTAGAATATGACCTCAAGTGTGCTATGCTGAAAGACGGCGGGGAAGAAATAAAATTATCTCACCGGTGATATTTTTATGGTCGATGAGCTAGACAAAAATGGTACCGCAGTACGACAAAGGACATTACCATGAACAATATTAAAAAAAAAAGATATGATCATTTCTATCACTATACTGTTTTAATAATTTCTCATTAAATTTTGCAGAACTTTTACATTTTTACATTTACAAACACACACATATGTATATATACTTATAGATAGATTAAATATAGATATATATAATATTCATTTCTTCATTATTAATTTGGAGAAGTCTTATCGTAAGACGTACAGCTTAGCGTAGGTACAATGTCTGTCTATCTATCTCTCTCTCTCTCTCTCTCTCTCTCTCTATATATATATATATATATATATATATATATATATATATATATATATATATATGAGAATAGGCTAAAATGCCAACAATCTCGCAACTTGGTTTTTGACGGTAAGGTCTTCTCAGGCAAGTGAAATGATCCTGGGAGATCTGAGGAGACCTTACGACCTATACCCGGATTGCGTGATTAGTTGGCATTTTAGCCTTTTCTTAAATATATAAGCCCTACTTATTCGATTGTGAATTTTGTATTGAGAACTTTTTTGTTGTCTATACCTTTTAGGCGGGGCTGTTTTCAGTTTTTGTCTTTCATTTCTAGCCGTATATATACATTGCGTCCAGCATGAAACAGCCAATCACCTGTGAGTGTTGACTTCAATGTTCACTTATACATATATATATATATATATATATATATATATATATATATATATATATATATATATATGCGTGTGTGTGCGTGTGTTTTGATACATCAAAAACGGTATTGGGGAAATTTATGAAAATTAATTGTTACGCGTTCCATCCTTCAGGAATTCATCGGACTAAATTTGTTATGTTGGTAGGATTACACATTCGCACGAAAGCTGTCATTTTTTTTTTATTATAATCACTGCTATTATAGCATAATAACTGGTACTATAGAAACCAACAACGAAAAGAGATCACCGCTGAGGCCCGTAAATGCTCTAAAGAAACTAGTGGGAAATAAGGAAATCTACATTACCCGTCTGACAAGGGAGGGAGAATTAGGATCAGGTACAAAAGAACATACATAAAAAAATATAATATATCTCAGTTGAAAAATGCCTAAATCTCGTATAAAAGCATATAACAGAATCAAGGATAAATCTCTCTCTACCAACAGCTAAGATAATAAAATAATCTACCACCTCATCATCAATCAATTCTACTTTCCATTCAATAATATTTGTTACAAACAAAAATTTAGATTAAAAATGGGATCACCTCTCACTACAGTAATGGCCTGTATCTTCTTAAATAACTCAATTCCGGTCCTTTCCAAAACATTTTACCCAAAAATTCAACATACTTCAATTATATTGATGATTCTCTACTTATATATCCTCGTGATACTGATTTACCTATCCTAGTAGCTCAACTAAACAAAGTCGAACCCTCAATGGAATTTACATACGAAATGGAACACAATCCCTTGCCTTTCCTAGATATCAAACTACACCGCGTTAACAACATATTAAAACTTGGTGTCCACCGGAAATCCTTCAACAAAAACGAACTAATAAATAAAAACCGGCATGATCTGATTCTACCGAAGAGAACTAAGAATATGCAGCTCAGATTATTTACACGAAAAAGAGAAATACATTGAAAACACTTTCAAACTTCTCCAGTGCCCTAATTAGTTTATATTCAATTCAAAACAAAAGGCCAACAGAATATTCAAAAGCAAAAAACGGACCCTCTTGAGAAATCCAATGAATGAAAAAAATATAGGATCCTCCATACTAATTCTATCGAATCTACAATCGAAAAGAATCTCTCAAAACTCAACTTAAAATTGGTTACTACTAGATCCAAAACAATAAAAGTCTTATTTAATACGAAACGAAGCAATAAGCTAACGCCTGAAGGCGTTTGCCATTGCCTGTAATAAATGCCAAAGAAAATACATAGGAAAAACCTCAAGGAACCTAAATAAAAAAATATATATATATGAATACAAAAGGGATATCTTACAAAATAATATGCCAAATGCGTTGGTTGTCCATCATAATGAGGCTGACCACAATTTTGACATAAAACATATTACTCTGATCAAAGGAGAAAAATAAATCTCTTCGTCGTAAATATTAAGAGAGAGCTTTAGTTGCAATATCATTATAAATAAACACCTTGGTTCTTACAACATTTCACCATTCCTAGCAGATTTTTTTAATACCACACTGTGGAAAGTGATGGAAAGAAACAGAAAAAAAGTCTCTAAATTAATTCGGCTAGATAATCCTACCAACATCACGGATGTAGTCCTGAAGGATGAAAATCCTTAGGAGTAAACTTCATTCACTTTTATTTCATTTGGAGAATGGACCCATGTCTTTTATTTTATTTGAGGAGAACAGAACCATGTCTT